ATGCCACAATAAAAGTCCTTGGCCAAGACCATGTTAACGCAATAAATCGCTCTGTGTAAGGGTCTGCCAAATATATACATGTTTACAGGACCTGTTGCTTTCTGATTTTCATCTTAAAAGTTTTAACCTTGCCTTATTATAGTAGGAAGAAATTTTACAAAAGGGGCAGGGGTAAATGATCAATCGTCGATTGATATCATCTGCAACAAGGTGTTACTTGTGGTTTATGGATATTGGCCCAAAAATCATATCTGTGCATCACAGCACTGCAGTATTAGACTCTGTTTATTCCACTGAGCCATTTATCTTGTTGACCCCATTTGTTGGCAGTTTCAAATCCTACATTTTTTAGTCATTTTAGTGATACAAGGGCTAGACACTTTGGAGGAAACAGTGTCTAATTTTTCTGGCCAATATTGCAACAGTGATTTAAACATGATTTATTTTCTATAAATTAAGCTCCAGGCATTTTTTGGGCTGTAAGACATGAATACACTGAATGTAGTATGTCTGACTGGCAGTTCACAAGCTCATTATTATTCAATTAATCAAAAAGTTCCATTGCGGCTCTTGCGATTTCAATACAAAAACGAAAAAATTGTTCAGTCTGTAATGACACTACCCAGTACTAGGCATGTTGTAACTATTCATTTATTCTAATGCCTATTTATATATTCACCACACTGTTCCTATGTCTCCTTTCACAACTGTTTGTTTATGGCTCTCCTATTCTGTCACACACATCTAGTTCAGACTTATCAGAGCTGGAGCGCTGTTATGACAAGCTGTTCATTGAGGGTAACTGACACCGTCAGATTTTGTCTGTGGGTGTTTGTATATGCACACTCTTTCTTCAGCACTAGGGCTGCATATTATTTGAATTTTTTGATGCAGACTCTGATACCAGTACATCAGATATGATACTGATGCCAAAACCTTTTTTGATACCTTCTTTGCATGAAAGCTCACTGTCATTTTTAATAGCCGGGGTGTGGTTGTTGGAATCGGGAATAACCTTTAACAAACTGAGACTTTTAATTGGCATTTTCTGAAAATAGTGATCACCACAGATGGCAAATTTTGTGCCAGCATTTTGCACTGAGCTATGTATGTATTGACTTTTTATTTTCAATATATATCCAAGAGTTGATGACATTCACAAATGAGCCTAATTTGTAGTGCGCATTTTGTTCAAAGTACCAAACAGGAATACTGAACTTTTTAAGTTTTTTTTTGCTATATGATGCGATATAGTACGGTTCTGTCTGGCCTAGTTGAAGTTTGACACTGATGTGTGTTAAATTGCTGGTGAAACAGGGCTGCTGTCCTTGCCCTGGTTTCTCTCAGCTGGCATTGCTGTGTCCTCTGGTTCAGGCAGCCAGAATGCAGCAGATGGGTGAAAGACTGGTCTTAGGTCCTACAGCACTGATCCCAGGAGGGAGAGAGATGAAGAGTAAGAGAGAGAGAGATGGGGAAGAAGGGGAAAATGAGAAGGTTTTGAGGAAAAACCTCAGAACAGATACAGCACACATCAGCAGTGAAAATGCTATCAATTTTTGAAATGCTATCAACATGATGAGTGTAATGATTTATTTTCTAGGCTCCCAGGCTTATTACATCAGGGTTATTATTCAGTATGGGACGCAATGCAGAGCTATTCTTATGATACAGGAGTGTGGACCTGCTGACAGGTTTTGTGGCTGTTTGCATAAAATATCTTAAATATTTATCTTAAGTTAAGTGCTGACTCTTCATTTAAGTTTATGATTTTACTTAGTTCAATTAAGCTAAAGTGACCACTGGCCATTTAATGAGTTAATTCAGTGTTTTACATACTACATGGTGCTATATCCAATTCAACACAGCCAATTATGCTCTCTTGGACTTCTAGCATCGTCATAGATCATACCCGTGATCTCTAAAATAGACCTTAGACAGCTACATCACTAGGGAGCCACTTCCAAACCTCCTTTTAATGAAAGCTGCAGTTAGTCAGTGTCCTTTTAAAGGGCTCGTATCCTACATTTTTCTTGTATATTATTTTATCGCCCGAGGCCCACTTATGTTTGTGTGAGTTTATGTACCCTGTCATAATTCACTTTTACATGACCCTTGTCCATCCTCTCTTTATTCCTTAGAAATAACAGCCTGTTTGTTAATGTGCCAACAACCAATATGTAAATGACCTTGGTTCTGATTGGCTGACCTGTGTTGTACCTCTTTCAAAAAGCAGTTAAAACACGCCTGCTGTAGGGTGAATAGGTGGATAATTGTAAATTGTTTGGTTCCTCATGACCTCACCAAAACAATGAATTTAAAAGAGGCTGTTTTTGCAGCTTGTTTTTTTTTTTCAATATATGGACTGGGGAGTGAGAGGTATGTTTTGAAACATTTAATTCCTAAAAAGCAAATAAAATGTGGTTTTCCATGATATGGGCTGTTTAAGTATTGACCATACTTACAGTTTTCTTAAAAGGTATATTTAGAGGTGTAATGATGCATATATTTTCAGGTTTGATAGAATTTATGCTTCTGAGGTCAGGATTTGTTGTAATTTTCAATGTTTTATGTGTTAATTTCTTGATTGTGCTGAGCTCTAATTATATACCACACAGATTGTGGAGTAATAAGTTCTTAAAAATAGCTTTTTCAGTGGCATCCATTTCACACTGACAAATTAAATCAACTGCTAGAATTTATACGTGATTATTTGAGTGTGGGTACATGTACAGCATAAGCCCCACCCCCCCAGCCTACTTTGTCCACAAGCCTAGTTTTGATCAATGGCGGTGGTTTCCACAAAAGACAGTAAACGAGAGATATTCAGAAAGACAGCAAGGAGCATGTCAGCAATACAGTTTTAAATTATATTACATTGTTTAAAATACTGAATTGAAAGTATACTGTGTATTGTGATGTAGCTTATGATATCATATCAAATTATCCACCTTGAGGCTTGAGAGAGAGAGAGAGAGAGAGAGAGAGAGAGAGACTGTGAAGGAGAAGGTGACTGGAAAGAGAAGATGGTGAGAGACAGAGAGGGTAGGGTAGCTGTGTGTGTACACAGTAGACAGATCTAACCCCTGATGCCTCTAGAGTAATCCCTGAAGCCACATTTCTGTAGCCGTCTCGGTCCAGCGACCCTGTGACTGGCCACTCACAAACACTACACAGCCTAGCAAAACGCAAACCTCCTCCTTCTGCCTCCTGTCAGGAAATCTTTACTCTCCTTTTTCATCCGTGGGTTTACAGCAGCTCCACTTCTTATGCTGAACTCGGAGAAAAAAAACAGCCCGTGTTTTGCTCTGCGCCGAAGCCAAATTAGAAATTGATTATTTGATGTTTGTGAGTTGTATCGTTTCTGAAGACGGATGATGTCGAGAACGAGGGCCAGCAAACGAGCCGAGAAGGAGGAAAAAAGACGGAGCGTTTCATCTCAACTTACTCTCCATCTCACACTCATAACTCACACTGACTCTTTAATAGCATATTCATAACGTAATTGTCGGATAATTGCTTTTGAGTCACAGAGATTAGGGCCGTGTATGTATGTGTGTGTGAGTCAGATGGAGAGCAAGCGAGCGAGTGAAGCAGAGAGAGAGATCGGTTTAGAGAGGTGTGTTTTGAAAAGTGTAGACGTTATGCAAACTAGTAGATACCAAACAGAGTTCAGAGATGCTTCTGCTAGTTCCTCTTAGTGCTGCTGATTGAATGCTTTTAGTATGCTTTATGTTCATGTTAAACAGTTTGCAGTCACTTGGCATATTCAGAATTTGTCATTTTGACATTCAATATCAGTAATAGAAACTGGACACCAAAAATGCATATAAACCATTCTTAAATGTTTATGCAGTGTACACGGTTTAAAAGTTTGGAAACACTTTTCATATAAGTCTGTATTATATTCGATAACTTACACAATGCAAATTTCAATACTGTAAACTAGAAAACAGAAGGTACTTTCAGATGCTGTATTCTAATCTAAGCATTGACCCGATGTTGATTTATTTTTTAAAAAACAATTATTGGCCAATGCTGATATGATTCCTGTATCATCGTGCATCCCTTATGTCTTGGCATTACATTTATGATATGGGGAAAATGATATTTCTTCAAACTCTCTCTTTATGCGAGGCGAACACTACCTGCTGTTGTTGGGATGTGAACATTAGGCTTTGCGCATTTCTCCCCGGTCTTCTCTGGTGTTGGGTATATGTAAGCCCTCGTGGTGGGCCGTGTAATTGGAAATCTCTGCTGTGCTGCGAAGAGACCCTCCCCTGAATATCGCTGCCTTCATTTCTACACACAGAGTTGGGAGTGCAGAGTTATCAGGTCAAGGTGAACAGAGATACTGCAGGACAATAAGAGCTCTGAGTGACTGCGTGTTGGCGTGAGAGGTTTTAGGCCAGCTTCCTGGGTCTGATATATTTCTGTATTGAAACAGCTGCGTGAATGGGGAACGGCATATTTGTCTCTTTCTTCCTCTTGGTTTCACTGACTGACTGTGTCTCTCGATCTCTCTGTCTCTCGCTCTTTTCTCTGTCTGTCAGTCCATCCGTGGCTCTGTCTCTCACCATCAGTGACTGTGTGTGAGTGTGTGGCGCTCTCTCTCTCTCTCTCTCTCTCTCTCTCTCTCTCTCTCTCTGTCTTTCTCTGTCTTTCTCTGTCTCTCTCTTGCTGTCTTTCTCTCTCACTCTCTCTCCCTCTCACACATTTTCTTTTTTTCTCACCTTCTTTTCTTTGTATCTTTCTCTTCTCCTTTTTTTGTTTCTCAGTTGTCTTTCTGTCTCTCTCTGTCGAGGAATACCACACTGTCTTTGCAGAAGCTTATCTTTTAGGTTGATTTTGCTTTAAGTTTAGAATATGCGCTTTTGTTATAAAGTCAGCTTCAGCCAAATTCTCTTCTGATTTTATCTTTACATTTACACTGATAAATTATTTAAGTGAGTGTGTGTGTGTGTGTGTGTGTGTGTGTGTGTGTGTGTGTGTGTGTGTGGTAGGAAGCGTCTGTAATCTGAGAGATGACGGAGAGTTATCTACCAGCTGGATTACATCAGTCTCTCCTGATTAGCGTTCGGTGTCGGGGCTTAGCGTGGGCTGTTGGCGTTCACAGAATTAAGTCACCTGTCTGTGTCCTGCATGCAGTGAATTCTGGGTAAGAGCCAGACCCCAGGCTTCAGCCTGAAGCTTGTCGAGTCTCTCCAGTGTGTTCGGTTACGTCACAGGAGTGGATAGCTGCTCAGCTAATGCTATTTCTGCTCTCTGTCTCTCTCTCTCTCTCTCTCTCTCTCTCTCTCTCTCTCTCTTTCTTGCTCTCTCTCTCGCTCTCTCTCTCTTGCCTATTTACAGACTGAGGCCAATCTCTCTTTCTCTCTCTTTTTTTGCCTGTGCTGTTTCCTTTCATTTATTTACTCTCTCTTTCTCTCTTTCTTTCTGTCTTTCTTTCTGTCTTTCTCTCTCTCTCTCTCTCTCTCTGTCTATCTCTCTCTCTCTGTGTCTGTCTGTCTGTCTCTCTCTCTCTCTCTCTCTCTCTCTCTCTCTCTCTCTCTCACACTGCTGCCTGTTTACTATTTACAGACTGAGACCAAAACCTTGAACTGCACATCTCCAGCTAAAGCAATAAACAAACCCGCGTTACGCAGACAGACCTGCCAAGCGAAACGCGAGCTGTGCTTGGGGACGGCTCATTGATTAGAGCGGCGGGCGCTCGAGTTAGCAGCACCTTCGGCTTCTCGGGATTGATGTCTTGGTGGTGAGCAGGACAAGTTGACCCTTGAGGTGAGACGTGCTAATAAGACTGGTGTAGGAAAGGGGTTGTAAAAGATTGAACAAGCAAAGCAAACCCAAACCCTCAAAACAGTTTACTTCTGCTGTCTTCTTTATATCTCTGACTCACTATCGTTCACTGGCTTTAAAGGTTCTCATTTCAAGAATTGTGATTTGTGAGGGCACTTGTGTGTAAATAGCAACTAATTGTAAGTTTTAAAAAATCTTTGTGATTTAAACTTTTATTTTATGTGCGTTGGTTCAACATTACTGAACTTTATCGTGTTCCCTAGGTCTGAAATGGGTCAGTCTCAAGGATAATTCATGATTTGTGACCTGTTTGTGGGGCGTCTGTAACTGTAAAATATATTTATCATGCTCTTAACAGGGCTGCCATTTGTGATTGCAATTTTTCTTTTTGTTTAAAAGTATAAATGGTTTAAATTGAACATAAATATGGGGAAATTAATAGCTAGTGAGTATAATTAGTCAATGAAGAACAGTTTGGAGAACAGGTGATTTTCATCATTATGATGTTCCTTATGTATGATGTAGCTGATCTGGGGTCAGTTTTGGTGTTTTATATCTGCATAAATGCTGCCATGTGGGCAGTGAAAACCTGCTTCATGGTCAGAGGTCTTTCTTAGAAGGTTAGAGGCCAGGAACTGTTTGTGTGCACGTGTTAAATATCTATATATGATAATATCTATATATATATAAATATATGAAGTTTTCCTGGCTTTTCTGAAATTAAAAAGTTTGATGTAGTATACAACATTGGTACGTTTTGAAACTTTAACATTCACTCTATATGGTTTCCATGTATGGAAATTAGGCTTCAGAAACAGCCTGCTTAGAGCTTACTTACCGGCATATTCAGCCTCACCTATTCACGCTGAAGTTATAAGGAGTGTTTTTGCTTGGACTGCTTTTTGTATGAAATGCAATACAGGGTGGCCAATCATAACAGAGATCATTTATATATCAGTCTTAAGCCCTATTTGAACGGGATGAGTTTTCCATGGAGAGGTGGGGTACCACTTTATCTTTGGACATCTGTAATGTGAATGAGCAGTTCACACATGATAAGTCTCAGTCTAAATGACCAAGATGGGAGTGGCTAGTCAATTTACACGCCGCCTTCACTCCAGAAAAGAGTAGACAAGATTTTAAAATGTTTGATTTAGCCATGATGTTGTTTACCCTAACCATTTACCCAGCTGACTTAAGTGAATGCAGTGCGTCATTAGTACCATTACTAGCCATTAGCTTGGGAATTAACAGAAAAGTCAACTTCACTGGATAAAATCATACTTTTTGTCTGTAATTTTTACATGTTCTGAGTTGTACAGGTGAGACAGGATAGAAACTTTACATATCAGCTTGATTTTTGCCGCAGAGAACAACAGGGCTGAAGTTGGTTTCCTATTTGCCAGCTTGTTTTTCTAATTTTTCCGTTCCACCTTAAATGGTACAGCAGTTACATTCTGGTGCCTAAGGCATTATAATAATAATTGGCGCACTATTTCAGGTGGAACAGGAAAATTCGAACAAGAAGCTGGCAAATAAGAAGCTGACTTCGGCTTCGTCAGAGAACACATGTAAATGCTTCTTCGAGCCTCAATACTTTATAAACTCACTTTCCTCAGAATATGATGTCAATTTGCACAGGATTCATGTAACCTGAGGTTATTTTCATGGCTTGTTTTACAGACAGTAAAAGGCACTGGACTCTATACTGACTATACAGACTAACCCTGTCCGAATAGGACGTTAATGCTGCAAGCATATCCTGTTAAGAAGGGAAAATGGTAATGTAAAAATGAATGAATTAATTTATGGCATGTAAACCAGCACAAGCAGCATAAGTGGACCTGAGGGGGGAGGAGGTGAACATAAAGTACAAGAAAAATGTAAAATATGGGTCCCTTTAATATTGTATTGTACAGTTTCCTATCCTGTCCCAGGATGTGGAGGGAAGGTAGGGTGGCGATTAGAGCAGAGGGAAGGAAGAAGAGGAGGAGAAAGGGAGGAGGAAAAAGAGGAGAGGAGGATGTGAACAGGTCTGTGGGATGTAGCCTACAGCGGAGATAAGCTCCGCTCTGTTCTGTTGCCGTAGCGATACGACTGGCTGCCTCTCCGTGGCACCCTGGGAATTGGCTGACCCACTTTGCTTTCGGTTGGAGTTATTTTTATATATTAGGAGAACAAGAAGAAGACTGTGGATGCCTGTCTGCTGCTGTACCCCGCTTTTTCACAGCTCTCTCTTCCGGAGGAGGGGGGGCGAGAGAGAGAGAGAGAGAGGGAGAGAGGGTCTCTTAATGAGCTGGAGCAGAAACACACTGCTGGTTCAAAGCAAACAGCCGGGTAAGGAGACGTTCGCCATCTTGTCAGGCATCTTGCTGTAGACAGGAGTGTGAAGAGCAGCGTTTCAGACTGAATCCCTGACTGGGACACAGTGACGGAGCCGAGAGAGGACAGGAGACAGGAGGAGAATAGACACCCCCCTCATCTCCTTCTCCATCAGTCTCTCATTTACACACAGACTCTCACTCTTTCTCTCTCTTTTTTCTTTTTGTTCTTCTTCTTCTTCTTCTTTCTTTCTTTTTTTCACCGTTTCTTTCTCATGTCTTTCTTTCTTTCTTTCTTTCTTTCTTTCTTTTTCTCTCTCTCTCTCTCTCTCTCTCTCTCTCTCCCGCCTCAACACACACGCCCTCCCTCTTCTTATTCTCCAGTCTCTGTCACACATGCTCCTCCTTGTCTCACACACACATATGGATTCTTTCTCTCTCACTCAGAGTGCGCACTCACACACACACACACACACAGGCGCGTGGTTGTCTGTGTCAGCGAGTGTGTTTGCGGCAGTGTTTGTAGAGGATGGTGCAGTCTCCTGGGACGCATATCTGAGCCAGGCTGTAGAAGCCGACCTGCTTTAGCTCTGCACTTTTACCATCCCACAATCCTCCTGATTTCAGCACCTATTTACACTTTCTGATCACTGCATTCACACCGTATATCTACCTCATAGATTTCTCACAGTCGCAAGCAGACCTGCGGTACAGTGATGTTTTTTTGTGTTTAATAGGCAGTAGAATCACTGCAGTTACATTGTATTCCTTTAGCTTGATGCATACATTACATATTCTAAACAAAGGTGAATGGCCAAGTTCAGGACTTGTTGAGTTGTAATGTAATAATTGTTGACTTAAACGGGACAAATCAACAGTTTACATTATAGAGGGTTGATCTATGAAAATGCCAAAGAGATTATCTTTTTGAAATTGGCATAAAACAGACCGAACAAGCAAAATAAACCTGAACCCTGCCAAAAACTTCATTAATAAGGATGAGAACGGTTCAGAGAACGTTGTCCCACTGCTCCACAGCCCAATGCTGGGGGGCTTTAGACCCCTCTGGTTGACTCTTTGCATTGGGTCTGGTGACTCTGGGCTCATTGGCAGTGCTTTTCTTTGGTGATTTTCTGGTGTCAGCAATGATGGCACCTAAAAGTAGCTGAATTCACTCTTAAGAAGCAGTGTCTGGATACTGTGATTATATGCTGTTTCAGCACTTTTTTCTCAGTGTAGTACTCCAGCCACAAGCTAATATGTTGGCTCTAACCTGTCATACTGGTCACAGGCTAATATGGTAGTAACAGTGCAATGATATGATACTGATATTTATGATTTATGGTGTATTTCAGGCACCTAGTGTTTCTACTGACTGTATTTGTGCTCTATTTTGGAGCCCTCCAGATACCTGTATGTGTGATAACTGTGTTTGTACTGTAGTCTTTAGACTGCACTGCAGTGCCTTAGTGGCTTCGGCACTTTCTCTGGCTCTCCAGGACACTGTGGCTTACTGATTATAAGCTCTTAATTATAAGCTGATTAGAAGCTCAGATATCTTCGTGCTCTTTGCGGTGGCAAGTCCCAGGACTTCCAGTCTGTGCGTATGCGTGAGTAAGTGTGTGTGGTGCTTATGTATGACCTGCTTAATTTGAGAGCAAGCACACACTGCAGTAGGTTTTGCTCTGTCTTATTAGCGGCATCCTGCACTCTCCTTGGCCCTGATAAGGAACTGTGCACTCTTTTATCTTACAGAGACTCTGACTGAGATAGCCTCAGCTGATTAGAGAAAGTGCAGCTGTTTTGAGACACATTTTGTATGTTTTTGTGTGTCCTGGGATGGTACAGGGACCTCAGCTGCACACACATACACGCATGTCATATCGAACTGCGTCCCTCAACACCTGTCGCTATGGTAACCGCAGAGTTGGGGGAAAAAATAATTGGCCCAGTTTGGGCTTTGAGTGATGTTTAGAAAAAAGGGTGCATGTGTGTCTGGCTGGTAAGGAGGTGGGGAAATAGTTCTGAGCTGTAATGAAGTTGAAAATGTTTCAGATATATCACAGTATTAGATCATATTTCATTTTGCATTAATAAAGCCAGTGAATGCGTCCTGAGTACTACCACTTTATGCTAAACAGTATCCTAAAGATCTTGCATTGTTTTTGAGTAGACTGTTTGTCGTTAATTATAAATCAGTATTTTGTGCCTGCAACAGTGGTAGACCTTCATGGACAGTAGATCATGAGAGAGAGTAACAGATTCTGTAGCTGCGTTTTTGGGTGGGTGAAACGCTCTTCAAACTCTGGGGCAACCATGTCCTACATGCCGGGATTAATTCTCTTTAATCTTCAGTGCTACAGACCATGTTGGACCGGGTCAGCCAGCGCAGTGCCCATTACATGTTGTTTATTTAATTTTTTTTCTTACTTTTTAATTTAGTAATTTATTATTTATTTCACTAGTAAAGCCAAAAACACTGCACTTTAATTCACGTAGCTTAATCTCTGTCTTTTTCCCTCGCTGCTGACCTGCCTTAGCAATAGCTAATGCTTTTTCTTAACTGGCATTATGCTGCTTTGCAATGCGATACAAGGTAAGCAGGGTGAGGGAGACGAAGGAGAGAGTGTAAGGTAAATATTTAGGTCCTCGGTCAAAGGT